TAGATATAGATATAGATATAGATATAGATATAGATATAGATATAGATATAGATATATTCCAAAATTAGAATATGTCACATTATGAAACAGTTCCTAATTGCTGGCCATCTTTGCCAATTTTAGTGTTTTAATATATTAATGGTTAACATTACCATCTACTGTACGGATTCCTTTCAGGTGGACTTGGGAGCGCTCTACTTTCATTACTCTTACATAGGAGAGACACAGAGGAGTGGTGACCTTGTTTAACTCCCTGGAATTTCCCAGCATTTGTTAATGCAAGTAGTTGTAATGTACTTCAGAACTTGCTTCTTTAGAAGTTGGGGGGAGGGAGAGAGGGAGTACTACTTTGTACTGATTCAGTTTCTCTCACACGGGATAGTTCCATTTTGCCTTCATCAAACATCCTTTAGCTCTCCAAATAGTTTTGGATTATCATACTGTCATTTCTGACTATTGGGAGATTTTAGTTAAAAAAAATCTGGAAGGTCACCCTCCTAATATACATGATGCTGGATGAGGTCATTCTAGAAGAATGGCCTGACACAAGGCACCCAGTTGCCAGAAGGCAAACTGGTATGATGGCTTCCCTATATCTCAACAGGACTCCAAGATACTCTCCACCCACCCAACTGAACTTCCTCAATTCTCAATTATATTTTTTCCTTTTCCTTTTCATCAGTAGCAGCATAGTCCTTTGTGAATGTGTGCTGCCTGAAAAAATAACTGACAGAGAATAAACTGAAACTTAATCCAGCAAAGTCATAGATGCTGATGATATGAGACTGTGGGTATACTGTTCTGGGTATGGGATCACGTTCCATCTTAAGAAGAAGGTTCACAGCATAGGAGTGCTCCTGGTTTAGTGTTGTTTTAATCATCCAGTTGACTGCCATATTCTATTGGCTTCAGCTATGCCTTCTTTAAGAGGCTAGAAATCTAGACATGATCAGACATGCAGTGAAATGTGTTGAATTTGAAGCTTCTCTTAAAGAGAATTCAGAAATGTGTTTATTATCTCATAAGCCATCTTAAAAAGAAGATAAATAGAAAGCCAAGATTTAAAAGTATAATCATGGTAATAAAAGATAAGAACCACATAGAATAAACATTCCTTGTGATAAGTAAACCAAGTGTTTCTGTCTCAGGATAACTGCCGACGAGATGAGAACGTGTTGCGTCTTTGGATCATTGAAGCCAAAGGTTTGGCCCCCAAGAAGAAGTATTTCTGTGAAATATGCCTGGATGAAATATTAGTTGCCCGAACTACCAGTAAAGCAAAAGCTGACAATATTTTCTGGGGTGAACAGTTTGAATTCTCTGGCCTTCCACCCACCTATAGCATTACTGTCCACATCTATAAGGACACTGAAAAGAGAAAGAAAAACTATAAGAATAATTATGTTGGTCTGATCAGCATTCCCATAGCTACTGTAACCGGTCGACAGTTTGTGGAAAAGTGGTACACCATCAGCACTCCCACGGTCAGTAAAGGAAAGTCTGGTGTGCCATCTATCCGGATCAAGTCACGATACCAAACCATCACCGTCCTCCCTATGGAAAAATACAAAGAGTTTGCTGAATTTGTAACCAACAATTACACTGAATTATGCTCTGTTTTGGAGCCAGTGATAAGTGTCAGAAACAAAGAGGAGATGGCCTGTGCTATGGTGCACATTCTTCAGAGCACTGGCAGAGCAAAGGTAAGAATATGCAGAGCCTCTGGCCTTAAGTTGCTTCTGAGTGATGTAGGAGATTGGCCTTACAGTGGGGTCTGACAGTCTAAAAGCAAACTGATTCTGTCTGACTATCAAAACTTTTAGACTAAAAGAACAGGAAATCAATGGCAACCTTTTAAAGAAAAATGGTATTTCCTATTATAAAAGATTAATATGAAAAGGCAAATATTTGTAACAATAATCTAAAAATCTCAAACATAATGTCTTATTTTTGTTTGTTACATGTATCTCACTTTTTTCATTCATCAAGGGAACTTAAGGTAGCCTATACAGAATTCTTGAGCAATTCAATCCAAGCACTGGATCAAATCTTCAGTGTATATTGTATCCCTTGAATGTAGGCACTGGAAATATATTGCCATTCCTGGAGCATTCTGACAGTCAACCTCATTTGTTTGCTGCTGGACCAATCAGGTGGAGAGTTATAGGCCCTTTTGTTTCTGACCAGCTTGATTTGTAATTAACACTGCTTCTGTAATACTTCCTTAAGATAACCTAGAAATGGGTCTTTAGGCTCCTTTGACATAGAACCTTACAAGTTCTGTATGTTGTTCTCCCTTTCTAATTTTGCTATGTGGCCATATTTAGATTTTAAGATTAGGGGAAAAAAGGAACAATCTGTAAATCTAAATTCACTGCATATGAGTAACCTTTACTAACAAGGATAAATCAAAGTACGTTTTGTTCATATTGCTAAACATAGGAGAACATTATAGTATAAAGTAGTGTTTGGATCTGATGCCAGACTGCAAAACTCCTTGCGATTGTCAGTAGTAATTTTTTTTTCCTGCAGATTAAGAAGCCTCTGTTTTTAATTGGTGGCCTTGACAGTGTGCATTAAGTTGATGAAAGTAAACGTGTCTCCTTCAGTTCAAGAATACATGTAGAGATAACCCTGCAGGTTAATCATTGCTTCTTCTAAGATAATTAGATAACATTAAGCTCCCACAGAAGACAATACTTCTAATGTAACTACTGGTTCAAATTTCCTAGAGCATGATCTGAAGGCATAAAGCACACTTCCACACAGCCATTGACCTTGTCTCCCTTATCCTCTGGTAGCATTGCAGCATTGAACAAGTGCTGAGCTTTGTCCTCTCATGTAGCCAGCCAGTGCTGCTTCCAGTTGGCCAGTAGGAGGGCACTAAAAAGAGAGGTAGTTGGTACAATATGTACCCGGATTCTTGCTTCACCACAAAGATTCTGCTCTGAGAGGCAAGGAACATAATAACCAACTTCAGTTAATCACTGCAAAGCACCACATCCAAATAGCCAGAGTAACAGTGGTTTTCCCACTGCGAAGGTTTCCACCCACAGCATTTCCTCTGGAATAAGAAACCTTGGAAGTCTTGTGTTATGATAGAGACGCAAGGAAGTGTGAATCTCAGTTTGACACTACCTGCCTCCTCCTGAGAAGGACCATAACATGGCAAACAGGCTGAAGTTGAGTACTTTTGCTATATTCAGTATGCAACTAGCTAGGAATTCCTTGTTCACTGATGGCCTAAAATGAATTAAGTGTGGGATATATACTTAAATACATGAATATATATGAGAGAGGTGACAATAGGAGATCAATCTTTGATCTAAAGGGAGTGACTGACCGCATATTTTGGTTGACCTCTCAAGTGATAGTGGTCCTCCCCTTTCTTTCAAAATATATGGTAGTGTTCTTTAAAAGCATCTCACTATCTCACTGGTTGCCCAGTTTGTTATAAGCAATAAAATAAATCTATATAGTTAGCATAATAAAAACAGTTATGACCATTAAATAGTACTACTGTCATTATTATGAAAAAATAAAAGGAACAAAAACAAACACTATTAAAAATATAGTGCTTTTTTTCTATTGATCTTTTGTTTTAAGAGGAGATATAAAAGTCAAGCACTGTTTTAGAAGTCATTTGCTCATTCGTTTGCAGTGCCTTGAATCTTGGAATTTGTACGTTCCAAGTGCAAGTGGAAAAATCAGATAACATTAGTTTAGAATTTGTTTCAGAGAGATATTGTGAATCAGTCAGGAACAAAATGCAGAAAGTATCCTTCATTTTAATTCATATAGCAATTTGCTTTGTTTCTATCCTTTTTTCTAATTGTCTGCTCAGTATCTGATAGGTTAATTTATAGCCCACAGATTAATATCTGTTTTGATACAATGTATATTTTGAATTGTGGCTCTAGCAGAAATAACTCTTAAGCACTTGTGCAGTGAGATGCAGAGCCCTTCAGATTCCAGCTCCACCCCTCAACTTTCTCTGGTTTCCTGGTGTCCCAGCCCGTTTTCTGGCCAATTATGAACCTAAATTATCCATGTGTCTTTCCTCCTTTTGGGATGCTGCACTTTATTGGGAAATGAGAGAAGATTCCTCCTCTGGGGGTAAAATAGAGCCCATCTTTTCAAGTTTACTCTCAGGTTTGAGTTCTGTGAGCAAACTGGAAGGATGGTCTTAAGCAGGGCATAGTTCTTAAAACTAACCCTCGAAGAGCAGAATATACAGAGCAACATTTTATTAGAGACAATGTGAAACCATGTTTGTCTTCTTATGATACTCACCTTTGATTCCTAAAAAAGATTTGTTCTTCCAGAGAGCTTGTGGCAGAATGTTCATTCTCCCAACAGCTTTGTGAGGAATATTAGGTTGACAGAGAAATGCCCCAATTTTATGGTGAAGCTAAGGGAGATTTTAATCCAAACCTCTCTGGTGTAAAACCGACATTCTGTCTATTATGCTACACTATCTCAAGTGTAATCTGTTTAAGCACATCTTTTAGATGACAGCTGGTATTTTCAGGATAGATCAATATTTTGGCCCAAGAAGCAAAAGATAAATAAATGGGAAGGAAAAAATGTGTGTTTCTTGAATTAATGCAATTCACCTATTCTCTGCTTGTGTAGGAATTCTGTATTCCAGACTTATAAGTTTGTCTTTGTACCATTTTACCTTAAGCTTTAGGGACTCCATTTGCAGCAAGCTGAAAATTAGAGAACACATCTGAAAAATAAACCAACACTATGGATTTAAGAGAGAAAACCATTAAGATCAGTGTATAACGACTATTCTGGACAAAGGGCTCTTTCCCATATCCCCGTAATGCACCTTCTTCCCATTCTCAAAATGACCCTTGAGAAACAGCTGACCCTACAGCACTGAGCCAAGGCAGCAAGTCCAGCTGCTGCTGTAGTGGGAGTAAGGAGCAGGGAAGGGAGTTCTCCCTTGCACTCTCCCCCATTTCCCCAGGCATGAAACACTCGCCTCACTTATTCTTTGCGCTTTCACTCCCCAAGACATAGCTTTTTGCCAGCAATGTTCTCTAGGCCCACAGTCTCTAGAAAATAGTATTTTAAAACCTCTGTACAGGTAGTCCTCGCTTAACAACCATTCGTTTAGCAACCGAAGTTATGACAGTGGTAAAGAAAGTGACTTACAACCAGTGCCCAAAGTTATGACTGTCCCAACACCCCCATGGTCGCATAATCGCGATCCAGGTGCTTAACAACCAGCTTGCACTTACGATGGTTGCAGCATCCCGGGGTCACATGATCACTATTTGTGACCTTCCCAGCTGGCTTCCGGCAAGCAAAATCAGTGGGGAACTGTGTGATTCACTTAACGACCATAGTGATTCACTTAACGGCCACCACAAAAAGATTGTAAAATCAGGTCCAGTGATGTGATGATTTGCTTAGCAACCTAAATTCCAGTCCCAATTGTGGTCGTCAAGCAAGGACTACCTGTACACTGGCTTTACACCGGCATGGTAAATTCAGGAATGCCATAGAGGGAGGTGTGAGAAGTGTGGGCAGAAATAGTGACCTCTTAGAATACATTCTACAACGTTGCTGTTCCTTCCAGGGCCAAAGAAAACTGTCTATCAGTAGATCAGGTTCAAACAGACAATTCAGCAGCCATTTTGTTATTACAACAGCCAGCCAGTCCTACAGGCTAGTTTTCCAGAACAAGAAAGGCTGGATGCAAGCTGTCTTTGCCAATTACTCACAACTACTATGGAGGTTGTTGTTAACAAACTGTTAAAGGGCAAAGACCTACCGTAGGCACAAAACACAGATAACAAACTCAGGCAGAAGCCCTGGAGGCATCAATCTGAGTCAAGCCAAGAGTTTACAAAGATGAAAAACAATTTGGGCAGACCCTCTATTTGAAGCATCTTTGAAGATGCTTTTCAAAGTTATTTCTGCATGCATACATAACAAGGAGTACTCTTGCAGTAGTTTCCCTTATATCTCATAACGTCACATATGAAAAACGCCAGCCCCAAAGCAGGAAGGAGTGACCATAGAGAGAGTATAACACCTTCTTTAACCACTCCCATCCCCACCCCTGCTGCATTCTGAAGTGGATAAGATAATGCATATAGGTGTGGGATTATGTTAATGTGTAAGTTGGTATATGGTATCAGAGCTTGATAGTTGTTATGTTGTGCATTATTTCCTTATTTTACTTTATTGGAGAAGTTATTTTTGTTAAGTTCTCACTAACAAAAGAAGTAAACTTCTTTCTGCTTTCTAATGAACTTTGTCTCATGACTTTTCCTCTGTATGGACATTTACTATTTTATACATTGGAGTCAATAGCAACCAAAGCCTGTCAGCTTCAACCCTGTAGCATATTGTCTGCTATGTGACTTATCCATGGAATACCCTGCTTCTCAGTAGTCACTCCAAAGAAGGACTGAGAAGAGGTACTGTATGTTGTTAGTCCTTAACCTGACACGGCTACTGGCCAAGGCTCTGTCCCCTCTGGCAATCAAAGCAGAAATGCCTGCAGAGGCACAGAGGCTTGTGGCTGGATGAGAGGGGGTGGTCCTATAGCATGCCAATTGGAGCCCCGAAGGCCACCAACTTCCTTCAGGTTGCTCCTCCATGCAACATAGAATGTTTGCAAGGAGGAGGGCTTATTCTGTTTTTCACTGAAAAGCACTATTTTTCTGTTGGATTTCTTTGATGTGGTTTTAGCCTGTCTCAGCAGCAGGCTGGCCCCAAGATGGAGGTTCCATTGGAGGATATGTTCTTCGCATAGAAAGGTGAGGGGACTGTGTAGATGAGCCCTAAGTGAGCTGTATCTGCATCTCGCTCATCAAAAAAGAATCAACGATATTTGAGGCAAATAGTTCAGTGAATACTTCTAACAGTCCCTAAAAATCTTAGTTTCCCTAATAGGAGGCACTGTCACTCAGACCCCTTTCTTTTAGCCTTTTCTCTTTTTTTTGATGAGTCGGTCATTTTATTTATCTTGCATATTCTGTCCAACCTCTGTACCCCACAGAGTACAGTCTACCATTATATACATCATCTTCTTGTCCAATCTTTTTCCTTTCAGGACTTCTTGACTGATCTAGTGATGTCTGAAGTTGATCGCTGTGGGGACCATGATGAGTTGATCTTCAGAGAGAATACACTTGCCACCAAATCCATTGAGGAATACCTCAAGTTGGTGGGACAGAAGTATCTGCATGATGCACTAGGTACAGAATATTTCTATATGATTATATATGCTATTTCTATTTTAACAAGTTTATTGTGAAGCCATTAAGGGAGAAGAGATAGTCAAGTTGCTGACCCATCTTTGGGTCAGAAAAATTAGTTGACACTAGCCCAATCCAAACAATTGGATAAGGGGTGAAATAGAGTATCTGCTGTGGACTCTAACAATCTTGAGAATGTTAAGTTTCTTTAAGAATTTGAAAGTTATCATCATGGTTGCCAATAAATTATTGGCAACATTAGCAGCACTTTTAATTTATATAATCAAAATACCTTAATCTGTATCCTGTTCCACTATTTTAATTCTGAGCCCCTTTTTATTCCTTGTTTGTACTGTTGAAAATTATAATAAATCCCTTTAACCAAAACTCATGGGAAATAATTTGGGTCAAGTCTAATCTACAGAGAATAGATTAGTGGTAATTAATGTAACCATCGTATGTTTTCCTTGCCCTTCTCTCAGTTTGCTTCTTAGTGCTCCCCTTCCCTCATCTGTAACTTCTATATCCCGATATCTCATAGAATCTCTAAATCCATTTTGTCCCCAGTTGTGCCATTGTGGACAATGTCCACTTTCCTGAACCCTCATGTCTATTGCAGTGGGTGTTTGCTTTTGGAGAACTTTTTTTTTAATCTGTTCTGTCGTGTCAGATTCTCAGAGACTGCCCAGACAAGTCCCTGCAGTTTTCTTGGTAAGGTTTTTCAGAAGTGGTTTGCCATTGTTCCTTTCTAGGGCTGAGAGAAAGTGATTGGCCCAAGGTTACCCATCTGGCTTTGTGCCCAAGGCAGGACTAAAACTCAGGTTCCCAGTTTTTAGCCCGATCCCTTAACCACTACGCCAAACTGGCTGTCTTTTCTTTTTAGTTTTTTCTTTTTTCTTTTTTTTTAGTTACCCAAAGAGGGTGTAATAGTAGATTATTTTTGATGAAAGATGGATTTTTTAAAGATTTTTTTCCTTGAATGCTTTTTTGATATTAGCAGGGTCTTTCTGCAAGCATTTATTCTGGGAATGTTTCCAATTGCTCTATTTTATGTCCTCAAAGTGTTCCTCTGAGCTGCTGGTAATGAAATGCTTTTGACTTCTCTGAACTGCATAGAACTGTACTCTTGTGTTTCAAGAATTAGTTGACTCTTCTTGGAAATCATGTTGAGAGAGGAAGCCCCAGGGATGTTACATTTTCCTTCCATTGTCAGTACCTGCAACAGCAACTTTAATTAAGCCTGGCTCCCTTAAAAGCAGTATATTGGGTATATTCAGTAACTGACTCTATTCTGAAGATTTCTATGCTTCTTTCCAAAGTGCATAGTTTCCTATTCTGATATACATGAAGTTATTAAAAGGCTAATATCCAGATAGAAAGCTGGAGAAGGTCCAAATAACAGAGACCAGCAAGAAATTTGTGATTGTTTATGGACATAAGTTACCTTTGATTTGATAGTTGCTAAGCACTCAAAAGTTAAAAATTCAAATAATAAACAGAGCAGTAGTCTCAGTTGTTAGCAGTAAAAAAATGATTCACCTTTGTACTCTCTAAAAGAAATATGAATTCTGCATCAAAATGTCTGAAATGTGTATGATTCAGGTAAAATTTCACACACTGATGAGTATACAATTGAAGTTTACTTTTATTTTTCTTAATTTCCATTTTCTTCTCATATTTTGTCAGCCTGTAGTAGAAACTTAGATTTTAAAAGGAATGGGAAAATAGTATGTGAAAGCAGATGAGATAATTTGTTGAGAGAAGGAGCTATCCCTTTGTTCTAGGAAGGTCTCCTGTAATCTGTACCTTTCGGTTCAGTCACCAGACATTGGAGAGGTCTGCACAACTGAAGAGGCCTAATACTAATAAGAGCTTTCTGGCATTTTAAAGACTAAAACCATGTAACTACACAAGTTTGTAACTTAAGTTGAAGTTGTATTTGCTGTGAAAGACAAACAGGGGCACTCTTCTGACTAACAGGGTGCACAGGCAACTGCTACAGTGCAAGCGTGGCCGGGTGGGGGGTGGCTGCTGTGGAATGCGAGCGTGTGTAGGGAGTGTGGGTGTGCACTATGAAGTGTGGGGGGAGTGCTGCAGGCAGGCATGTGCTGGGATCTCGTACTCCATAGCCAGGCTCCTCAGGAGAAAAAGCAGTGGGAGCGACTTACAGGAGCAACTTGCAAACTTCCCTGCCATTTTCCCCATTGACTTTGCTTGTGGGAAGGCGGCAGAGAAGGTCACAAATGGTGATCGTGGGACCGTGGGACACTGCAACCATTGTAAACGCAAGCCAGTTGCCAAGCACCCAGATCATGATCACGCAACTGTGGGGGTGTTCGGACAACTGGAACTTCAAGGACCAGTCCTAAGTACCACTCGTTCAGGGCCATTGTAACTTCAAACAGTTGCTGAAGGAGTGGTTTTTAACCAAGGACTATCTGTATGATTAGTATCTAAACCCAATCTTGCATACAAATGTATATGTGAGTGAAATGTAATATCCTACAACTTTGGCCATTATTATTTATAATAAAACATGTTATAATAATGTACATTTCACTTATATTTTTTCAAATTAATATGTCAATCAATATGGTCATAGGCAATAAAGTTAGTTACAATAGAGAGTTTGAGACAATTCAACCAACTTAACCAAATAATGAAAATATCCAATTATTGTTTTGTTCTGTAATAGAATAATCAAATTATACTCCAGTGAATAAAAGGCAGCAAATTTAACTCAAATCAAAATAATAGATTGCTTGTTGGTTGTCTGTAAAAGTGATAGTCAAAGCAGGTTACAAATATCAGTTGACATTGCCTTTAATTCCAAAGTTAATTACATTCATGACTAACTATAATCTTTGTCAAGGCCATATAACATAGAATTATTTGAAACACTGAATCACAAAATGAACACATGCAAGAGACAATCTAGTCCAACTTACTGCAGAAATCCACTATTATAGCATCCCTGAGAGACAGCCATCCAGCCTCTGTTTAAATTCACCATCTCCTGAAGCAGTCTGTTCGATTGTTGAACAGCTCTTACTGCTACAGACTTTTTCTATCTTAAATCTCTTTCCTTCTAATTTATACCTATTGTTTCATTTCCTGTCTACTGGAAGAACTCTGAACAATTCTGCCCCCCTCTTCTACATGATAGCCCTTTAGTTACTTGAAAACAGCTATTAAGTCTTCCTGCTTCCAACCATTACTCTTTTTTCCCCCTTCCAGGCCCCTTATCTTATTTGATTTTTGTTTATTTTAAATATTTGTATATTTATCCAAATTGGCATAACAACAAACCAAAGAACAAAAATACAAAAACAATAATAAATAATTACCAACTAAAAACAAAAGAACAATTAACTGGTGATCAGGGCCGCTGATTCTTTACAGTCCTCGGATGGGAATACCAATCATCCTGGCCCAAACACATGAAGAAAGAGCCAAGTTTTCACTGACTTTTTAAAGGCCAGTGAGGTTGGGGCAACCATATGTTATTTGGGGGGGGGGGGGGTGTTATTCCAGACAGCAAGTGCCACAGTGGAAAAGGCATGCCTGCTAGGTCCCATAAGATGGCATTGTTTCAAGGAAGGGACGTGAAGGGTGCCTACCCTGTAAGAGGTTGTGGAATAGGCAGATATTATTGGAGAAAGGTGGTTCCACAAATAACCCAGTCCTGTGCCATATAGGGCTTTATAGGTGATAACAAGCACCTTGAATGGCACCCAGAAGCTATAGAAAGCCCATATAGCTTGCAGAGCATCCACACCGCTGCATACTGGACCAATTTTAGCTTCCAAAAGGGAAGAGTAGAGTATGTTGCAATAATCCAATCAGGAGGTGGCTAAGATGTAGGTGTGAATGACTGCAAGCAGAACCCCCTTATCCAGAAGCAGGCACAATTGATTGCTCTTCTTTGGACGTGCTCTAGTTTTTCAGTGTCTTTTCTAAACTGTGGTACCCAGAACTAGACACAATATTCTAGATTGATCTGACCACCACAGAACAGAGGAACAATGGCTTCTCTTGATCTTGACACTCTTCTTCTTGTTAGCCCTTCAAGGTAGTCCAGACAAGAAGCACATCAATGAATACTAGCTCTGTCTTTATTGTAAGGTTACATTAACAGAATCTTGCAAGACTGAAAGTATTTCTCCCCTTGTTCCCTTTTACTTTCCAGAAAACTACAGAGAGTCCCTTCTAAAACCCTTCCCATACCCCTTTGCTTCTGTGGACTGAGATATCTCTTGCATGACAGTTGTCTAGTCTGCAGTTCTTCCTCCTGTCTCCCAAGGTCATTCCCACATACCATTACACTTCTATAGTTCTGCCCAGGATCCAATACTCATACCTTTGAGTTTTTCTACCTCAATGTAGACATTTTCATTTGTCCATTCAGAAGTTTGTCTTGTAGGTTTCTGTTCACTGTTTCAGCTTGTCAAGATCCTCTTAAATTTTGATACTATTTTCTAAGGTGTTTGCTATTCCCTCCAACTTTGTGTCATCTGTAAATTTGATAATCATATTTTTAAATCCTCATTCAAGTTTTTATAATATGTTGAAGAGAACAAGACCTAGAAGTTTGCCTCTCAGTGTTTCCAACTTGGTACAGAACCATTGACATACATTGAGTATAATTGTTCAACCAGCTCTGCATCTAATGGTAGAATATTTTGCCATCTTGTCTATGAAATATGGGAAACTTTGTCAGATGTTTCACTGACGTAGAGGCACACTGCATTCCCATGGACAACTAAACTGGTCACTCTCAAAAAAAGGAGAACAGGTTGGTTTGGCATAAATTAAAGCTTGATAAACCCATGCTGGCTTAACAATCTGTTCCAGGATTGTATTAACACCAAGATGACCAGTCTGTTGTTATTTGGCTCCTCTTTTTCTCTTTATTTGTAGTTAGGAATAATGATTGTGCTTCTCCAATCCTCTGGCATGACACCTATGCTCCAGGATTTCTCAAAAGCTAAAGAAAATGGCTCCAAATTGACATCCACAGTTTAAACTCATTTGCTTAGCTAGGTGCTCCCTAACCATC